TCCCAAGATAGGAATAAGCAAGATCATGGAATTTCCTGGTTGGAGACAGAAAAAGTCTGTCGTAGTAGCAGGAAACTGGATGGGAACCTCTTGAATTCTATCTCATTAATTCTTTCTTAGCCACATTAAATAACATGTAGTGTCTGGCACAGAGCCTGACACATAGTAATCCTCCACTTAGACTATTTTAAAAAATCATGTTATTATGAATTTTTATTGGATGGATATCAGAAGAAAGGGATAAATCCCTGGAGACCCATCTCCCACCCTCTAGGAACCCCACAGGAAAATCCAGATAGGAGCTAGTGCTCTGAGGTACAATATGGCAGCCAATTGTCATGGCAACAGCAGAAGAAGGAGTCTGGTTGGTTGTGGGGGCGGTGCTGGGAAGCCAGCTGGTGCCAGATGGACAAACCCAGCAGAAGGCATCCCCAGCCGGGTGAAGCTGATGCCCCGTGCCCAGGGCTCAACCTCCATATGCCAGCCTCAGCCTGGTCCTTCCCTCCAGGCCTAAAGGCCCCATTGCTGTCTGTGGGGGATGATGCCAAAACCATTCCTCCTCCTGACTCTTGCTTGTATAACAAGGAATGACTGCTTGGAGACAAAAGACTGTCCTGCTGAAGGTCCCCCTGGCCCATAGGCTGATGGATCTAAATAGGTCTGAATTATGCTCACTCCTGATGATGCTGAGGAGCCATCACATCGACTTGAGAGGTCCTGAGCAGCAGGATGCACAGGCACCGTTCTGTACACCCGGTGGAGATTCCACAATGGCTTGTGCTGCCTGGAGGACGAGGAGATGAGGGCTGCAGGGAGGGAGCAGGGCAGGTTAGGGGCAATGTGGCTGAGCTGCACCCTACCTGTCCCCTCCTCCTGGTATGTTGGGCAGCATTCGCACCTGGCCAGTGGATAAAAGAAGCTGCCATCATGGAGTTCACCACCTAATTGTTAACAACGGGTCCCTCTCGAAACAGCCTCAGCAAGATGCTCACCTCCTTCAGACCACGAAAGCCCCAGCCACGGAGCCCAGCCACATTTCTCAGTCAGGCCTCCGTGATGGACTGCACCCGATGATCCATGGCCCTCACAACCCCCGTTCCTTGATTGCCCCCACCTATCTCAATGGCCCCATAACTGCGTCCCTCTGCACTTAGCATTTAACACTAAACATCCGCACACAGCCTTAGAAAACACTCATTCCCATCATCCTGTTTGATCTTCAGGATAACCAAGGAAGGCAGTTAGGGTCCAAAGACATGAAGGGACTTGCCTAAGGTCACCCAGCTGGTAAGTGGGGGAAGCCAGAATTTGTATCCTGACCAGCCTGTCCAATTTCAGAGTCAAAAACCAAAAGCTCCTTCTTTTGCTGTCCTTCCTGTGGACAGAGCCCCACTGACTATCAAACCCAGAGCAGCCTGCAAGCTGAGGTGGTGTCCACCAGCATTCTGCTGCTTCATGCACCCTGAACCCAAACATTCACTAGAAGGGCCAGTGCAGGCCGGGCACAGTGGCTCACACCTGTAATCCCAGCACTTTGGGAGGTCAAAGTGGGCAGATCACTTGAGGTTAGGAGTTCGAGACCAGCCTAGTCAACATGGAGAAACCCTGTCTCTACTAAAACTACAAAAATTAGCCGGGTGTGGTAGCAGGCACCTGTAATCCCAGCTACTCCGGAGGCTGAGGCAGGAGAATCGCTTGAACCTGGGAGGTGGAGGTTGCAGTGAGCTGAGATCGTGCCACTGCACTCCAGCCTGGGTGACAGAGCAAGATTCCATCTCCAAAAAAAAAAAAAAAAAAAAAACCCAGTAAAATCCAGTGTGCCCAACAAGGTCTTGGAGGTGGGGGGATGGGAGAAAGGTCTCTACACATTGCTGATTAGCAGTAAGTGACACTGAGGCCAGGCCAGGAGAGGAGCCTCTCCCAGGGAAGGCAAGAGTGGGTGTGGAGACTAGGGTAGCTTTGGGACTCCTTTTTAGCTATGGTCCATCTTGTCTTTCCATCCTCTCAACACAGCCCTCCCAGAAGCGGGAGCACTGTGCAGGAGCTGGAGGGAGACCCCATGCTGGGAAGATGAGAGATGCTCAAGCAGGGTCAGTCCCAAGCAGGGCCAGTCCCAAGAGCGTCAGGAGACAGCATGTATAAGGAGGGGAAGGAAGGCTGGAGAGGCCTGGCAGGATCAGGAGTTATAACTGGGAAGACATGGGGAGAAGGCAGGGGCAGGTCAGCGCCTTGGTGCTGGGGCCCTGGGGCCTTGGTTGGATGATGGAGAGGAGCCCATCCTGGGGACAGCTGGACCAGACCATGGACGGCCTCACTGTGAGACCCCGGCCTGGTCTCAGCTTCTCTCTCCTTCCTGCCCAGACCTGGTTAAAGCCTGAGGCCACCTCTCAGCCCTCCCTTCCTCCAGCCCCATTCCACTCCACTCCCTGGGAGTTAAGCCCCCTCACCTGACAGGGCCACTTCCATGGCCACTCACAGAGAAGTCTTTGTGCACAAGCTGGGCCTGGGGGATGGGTGGTGGTGGGCACTCCCACTTACATTCCGCCCAGCGGCCAGCAGCAGCCTCACCATCTTCCCATCTGCCTCTCCGGCCTCTCATCCCCTTTCTTGAGGAAGAATTCCCTCGGAGCCTTGGCCCTGGCTACTACCTTACCCCTAACTCCCTCCCTCAGGACGGTTCCAGGACTGAGCTCCTTCTCTGCTGCTTTGCTGCAGCCCCCTGAGCCACACAGCCCTGACCACTGAACCTTTTTTTTTTTTTTGAGACAGAGTCTTGCTCTGCTGCCCAGACTGGAGTGCAGTGGTGCGATTTCAGCTCACTGCAACCTCTGCCTCCCAGGTTCAAATGATTCTCCTGCCTCAGCCTCCCAAATAGCTGGGATTACAGGCATGGGCCACCATGCCCAGCTAATTTTTGTATTTTTAGTAGAGACAAGGTTTCACCGTGTTGGCCAGGCTGGTCTCGAACTCCTGACCTCAGGCGATCCACATGTCTTGGCCTCCCAAAGTGCTGAGATTACAGGCTTGGGCCACTGCGCCCACCCTCTCTCCCTCCCTCCCTTCCTTTCTTTCTTTCTTGTAAGAGAGCTCAGAGACCAGCTTGTTGTGCCACAAAGTCAGAGCCAGTATCCCTGTCCCCCAAACCCCAGCAGCCCATCCCCTGCCCTGACCTCAGGGTGCTCACTGTGCTGAGGGACACCAACCTCCTCTTCTCCACATCTCTCCCCAGAAAGCTTCCATAAGCTTGCTGCCCCGCCATGTGCAGGGGGAAGGAGGGATTCTGAAGGCGGGTCGTAGAGACATCCCTTCCTCAAGTGGCTTCCAGGTCTTTCATATGTCCTTCATTTGTTTGGAACTAGCTGAGAGTCAGTTAAGTGTCTGGCTGGGCTCAGTGGACAACCAGATGCAGGAGTCCCCATCCCTCCTAGGAGTGGTTATGTGTTGCTCTCCAGCCACGCCCTACACCTGGCACCTCTGAGGCTATCAGCTAACTGCCCCAGCCTCCCTGGTATAGCACATAAGGCGCTTTACAGAGGAACTCCTACCTCTGTTTCCCTTCTCCTCCCAGCAGACTCCCCGCGATGGTCATGCTAGTGTCCAAACATACCCTGCTCTTCCTTACCTCTCTGCCTTCTTGAATGCTGTGGACTGTCCACCATTCACCTCCCCAGATTCAGTAGACTGCCAAATGCCTGTTTTATCTCGTATCGCTTATTCCTTGGCATCCTCCAGGAAGCCTTCCTGCGCTCCCCACAGGTCTGCAGGACAATGCTTTCCAGACTGTCTCCTAATCATTCGTGTGTCTGCCTCACCCAGTAGACTGCCAGTTCCTCAGAGCAGCGTTGTATTCCATGCTCCCCTTGAGCTTAGCTCCTCTCACAAAGGAGACCCTCAGTGCCTCCTGAATGAATGCCCTGACATGGAGGTAGGGGTACCAGAGGGAAGGGTATGGATGAGAGAGGTGCTACACAGGAAGAAGTGATGGGCTTTGATGTGGCTGATTTGGATGTGGGGACAAGTCCAGGAAAATGTTCAGGAGTTGAACCTGGGGGCCTAGGATTTTAATGAGGCCACCGACAGAGGTAGGGCAGCAGAAGCACAATGTGGAGGGAGCATCCAAACTGCCTGGGGAATGGCCCACCTCCCGGGTTTTGGTGGGAAGTGGTACTTCTATGCCACTACAGAAACTAAAAACACAGGTAGTCTCTGGGCCCTCCTTGCAGCTAGAGCCTAGGCATGTGATCCAGGCTTGGCCAAGCAGATATACGGTTCTAATCCTTGAACTGGGGACAAATGGCAGGACCACAGGTGGTAGTTGGCAGTTGGGGGTGTCAATCCAGACTTTAAAAGAGGTCAAGACTAGGCTGGGCGCGGTGGCTCACCCCTGTAATCCCAGCACTTTGGGAGGCCGAGGTGGGTGGATCACAAGGTCAAGTGATTGAGATGATCCTGGCTAACACTGTGAAACCCCGTCTCTACTAAAAATACAAAAAATTAGCTGGGAATGGTGGCACACACCTGTAGTCCCAGCTACTCAGGAGGTTGAGGCAGGAGAATCGCTTGAACCCAGGAGGGTTGCAGTGAGCCGAGATTGCGCCACTGCATTCCAGCCTAGGTGACAGAGCGAGACTCCATCTCAAAAAAAAAAAAAAAAACAAAAAAAACCAACAGGTCAAGACTAAAGAAACGAGGGAGAGAGGCTGGGTGCAGTGGCTCACACCTATAATCCTGGCACCCTGGGAGGCCAGAGAGGGTGGATCACCTGAGGTAGGAGTTCAAGACCAGCCTGGCCAACATGGTGAAACCCTGTCTCTACTAAAAATACAAAAATTAGCCTGGTGTGGTGGCACGTGCCTGTAATTCCAGCTACTCAGGAGGCTGAGGCAGAAGAATCGCCTGCACCTGGGAGGCAGAGGTTGCAGTGAGCTGAGATTGCACCATTGCACTCCAGCCTGGGTGACAGAGCAAGACTCTGCCTCAAAAAGAAAAAAAAGAAAGAAAGAAAGAGAGAAAAAAAGAAAAAAAAGAAAGGAGGGAGAATTTATAACTTCAAGTGATGGCTGAAGTGATAAAAGTGGTGAGAAGAGTGAGAAGGAAGAGAAAACAAAGTGCTACCAGCAGAACCTGGGGACCACTTCTAGTTAAGGAACTGGTCCATCTGGAGGACTGAATGAATGGAACCAAGAACAGATGATCACGGATATAACAGAATAACCGAAGGTCAAAGGAAAAGACTGAGAAAATAGCATAAAATTTTCCATAGGTCAAGGAGGACTGGGCTTGGGAAGGGCCAGAGGTCTTTGTTGAGGAGGCTATGAGTGGCCTCTGAAAGGGTGCAGTTTTACCAGAGTTATAAAGATGGAAACTAGAGTGCTGGGCTGAGGAGAGAAGGTGGAGCATTTCCTCAAGTACACAGTCACCTTTCACAGGCCCCAGAGAGACCCTCAAACTGGCAAATGATACTGCCTGGCCACATCCTACCCTCTCACTCCTCCTGCTGATATTCCCCATTCTGATTCCTCCAGTACTTTTCTTATTACTCACAGTCCTCTAAGTCCTCTGGGAACTAAGCCACGTGCTGAGGCCTCTCTACCACCCCTGCTCCTGTGCTCAACCTTACATCTTTTCTGGGGGCCGCCATTCCTGGTCTTTCCCTCCTTCCTTCTCTCTCCATCCTCTCTTCCCAATTCCATTAGCAGGAAGATTCAACAGTATTTCTGGTCAGCCAGGAAGTCCTTCTTAGGGCCTCAGTCTCTTCCATGTCCACTAACCAGAGCAGGCTTTCAGTGCACACCTGGTCAGGCAGCCATCTTACAGGCGCCAGTTACCTAAGATGGCGGCCTCCCTCACCCTCCGCTTCCGTTCCCACAGCTTTGCCTCCTACCCCTGCCTCTTTCTTTCCGAAGCCTCAGCCCAACAAGGTGGGGGGCCAGGCTGGGGAGCCAAGGCCGGAGGAAGCAAGACAAAAAAGGACAGAAAAGCTGGCCCCTTGGCATCTCTCTTTGGCATTTGAGTCCAGCTCAGGGAGGGAGGGCAGAAAGAAAGAAAGTAGTGTAAGTTTTTATTTCTGTCCTCTTCCTGCCACCTCCCCCTAGTCCCTCCCCCAACACTTTGATGAAAACAAAATCTCTCCCTTTTTTTCTCTTCTCCAGCCCCCCTCCCCTTTTTTCCTGGCTTCTACCATGAGCCTCCTGGAATGCAAATGAACTGTATTATGCAAATGCATGCAAATCAGGCTTAACGAGCGGAAGGAGGGGGCAGAATGCCTAATGAGTAATGGCGGAGGGTGCAGATGGAGGGTGGCAGGAATGGCCCCCTCCTCTTCTCTGTTCCCACAGCCTGGAGGTTTGCTGGAGGTAGCCGGGTGTCCCTCACTTCTGGGAAAGAGTAGAAGGTCAAAGCCCCATCGCTTCAGCTGAGAAGTCCTGGGATGTCCTTGGCTGTGGTAGGTGAGGGGCAGGCGAGCTTGGGAAGAGAGGGGGTTAAGTATAAGGGGCTGGTGCTCACTTGCATTACCTTGCCCAGAGACACTGCATGCACCAGCTTCCTTGCCTATGTGGCCTGGCGATGGCAGAACCCTCAGCTTCCAGTGCTGAAAAGAGGGTGACGCTTATGCATGCCATGGCTTGTGCATCAGAAAGGAGGATTCTCAGGGGAAGATTCCCAGCCAGACCCAGGTTCTTTCTGGGGGTGGGGGTGAAAACTGTCTCTCTTTGTACTTTGGGAGTGGGGGGGAGGTTGCCATGGCAACATAGCATGGAACACCCACCTCCCCAACATCCAGCCCCAGAGGACCTAGGAGTTGGGGGGGATAATGGATTGACACCCCCGATGCCCCCACCACCTGGCACTGCCAGCCGGAGATGGCAGCATCAAATCCTAGAGAGAATGGTCCCTTTGTTTGTAGGCTCACGGTGTTGGGGGAGCAGGCCTGGGCACACAGAAGGGCCTTTCCCAGGCCCCGTTCCAGTTTGCGTGACTCCCACTGGCCTCTGGAGACTACTTGTGGCCATCCACTGGCCTCTGTGTCCTGGCAGATGGTTGCCCCCTTGCCTTTTCTCCCATGGGCTTGCCAGCTACTGCTAGGTATGCCCTGTCCCTGAGGCCTTCCCTCCAAACCACTTCAGACAGAGGTAGCAGTCTGTTCCACCTTTTCCTGGCTTTCTTGAACACCTCACATGCCCAGTCATGCATCCTGTGGAACAGGGGCAACCTGCAAACTCCCCCAACCAGCAACAGCCCCGCTCCACCCAACCGAGGCAGAAAGACTCCTAAAGGAGGTATCAGACAGATAGAAAGGGCCAGGCTGAAATTCAGGAGCCTGGATCTTGGCATTTCTGCTAACCAGCTGGGCAACCTGATCACACCTCTTCTACTCCCATGGGATCTGTGAAATGAGGAATATAGGAATGATGATATCTAAGGCTCATTTCAGCTCTACCAGATCTATGCCCTCCGTATCTTACATGACCTAGGTTAAATCATTCTTGAAATATAACTTTCATTCTTCCTACTACTGGAGCAGCCCTTCTCATTCAGACTTCCAAACATGAAGAAAAACCCAATTGCCCAGAGACAGAATGCCAACTTCCCTCAGCCTTTGCCTCTCCCTGAGACTCCACGGCTGACTGCAAACAAATCCCACAGATTCAAAAATTTAGAGTCTTTGATAGCTGACTGTACAGACAGGAGGGTCCCTCCTAACCCTCTCAAAGGGGGTCAGCACAGCCATCTCACTCACCGCCCGGGAGCTGTCCGTGGTGCTGGATGTGGCTCTGTCGTACACAAGGAGGAAGGAGGGTGGGCGGGTGTTGGAGCACCCACCCGCCCCAGGTGAGAAGCTAAAGGGAAGAGAAGAAGCAAAAACATTTGGAAACAGTAAGAAAAGGGAAAGAAAGATGATACCTGAAGAAAGTTTCTCCTCTCTGAAGACCTCCAAATCGTCAATATTACTTTGAGGAAGGAAAAGCACAAAAGTCATCGAATCTCTGATAAGTTAGCGTGTTCTTCCTCTAGATCCTATTTGGGCATCCACAGGGAGGTGGAATCATAGTCCCTTCCCTTGGGGAAGAGCTCAGATTGAGGTGGGAGATAAAGTACAGATCTCTAAATTCCGTTCTAAATTCTAAGGCTCCTACAAGGAATTTAGAAATAATAATTAAAAAGATATACAACCTGTCTGATAGTATTATAGATATCAGGAGTTTGGGAGGAAAGGCGGGGAAAGGCCGGGGCGTGTTTGTGTGTGCACAGTCTGTTCCACCTACACAGGCATGTGGGTACATGCATACGTGTGTGTGTGTGTTTCCCAGGTGGAGAGGTGAGTCTGCATCAGCGGTTCATAACTTCAGGTGCACATTAAATAATAATGATGCCTAGGCATCATTTCCTCATACTCTGATTTCATGGGTCTAGGGCTGGGCCCAAACATCAACATTTTTTAAAAAGCTCCCCAGGTGATTCAGTGCATAACCAAGTTGAGAATCACTGATCTAGAAGAAAGCAGGTCAGAAAAGGTGCAGGGATGAAGTCTGATTAGCTGGAGGAAGAGGCAAAGCAAAGATCCTTAAAGAAGAAGGGAATGAATAGGGAGGAGAACGACAAGCATGTAACTCCTCTCTCCTGGGAGCTCCTGGATGGCCCCTAGGCCTGGCCTGGAGATGAGACTGGCTCAGGTGTTGGCTTGTCTCCTCTGTGCTGTAGAAACTCAAACCCACCCTAAGGCAATGAGACAAACTGTCTCCCTACTGCAGTCCCTTGTGCAGGAAATGGGTGCAATGACCCTAAGGGGGTGCTGCTGCTCCCCTTTACCCAGAGGGTCCCCAGGGAGGCGGCTGTGGAAGGTAAACAGCAACAATGGTCCCTTTCAGTGTCCAGACTCCAACCCTTCAGCCCAATTAGCAGACACAGCAAACAGCAATTCAGCAGCCTTCAGCCGCTGTCATAACAAACTCAGAGCTGCCTTAATGGGGGGATTAGGGCAGGAGGAGGAGGGGGTGTCACTTCGGCCCTGGGAGAGCCTGGGTGGCAAGGAGGGGGTTCCCCTTTTCTCCTTATCCTATCTAAATACGCACCCACCCACCCTTCCTTCCATAACTCTGCTCCTCATTCTCCTCAAAGCCCCAAGAATGCTTTTATAGTTTTGTCTGCTCCTTCCCTCCAGTGATTTGAAGGAAGGTGAAAAAATAAATAACCAGATTCCAACTTTCAAACCTTGAACATGCAGACCTCAAGAAGGACTTTCAGACATAGGGGCCTGTGTGTCTCTGGTGGGTTACCAACCTCAGGAATCGCATTGGGGACTGGGGGGATGTTGGTTTGTGAGGCGAAGGCAGAGAAGACATCCCTTCTTAAAGCCACTCAATTATGAAGACAAGTCTGCATGCTGATAGGCAGGTCTATAGGATTTGTTAATTATAGCCACTACCTAACTTGTCCTTTAATTTAACAAACTGTGTTTTTAGTTACTTAGAATCCAGGAGCTTAATGGCATAAACTTGAAATTATCATTTACACATGCTGTATTTATCTATGTAAGTCAGTTTACCCATCCTAAGTGCTCTTACCAATAAGTCTTAATATCCATTAAGGAGAAAGAAAACAATGGCCATTCTGCCACGTGGACTGCAACCTCTTCCCTTTATCAGACTTCCCAAGGGCTGTGCTTCCTCTCCCAAGTCTTCAGATACTTCCTACCTAGGTCCCCGGGAGTCTCACCTTGACTCCCAAAGCTGGAAAAGGAGGAAGTTCCTCAAGTTAAATGTTATGAGATCCTCAGTCAGGAACACGCCCGAGAGCTTCCCTTTTTACATTCTGAAACCAATCATATGCTATCAGTCTTTCCAAACTGTAGCCTTTAATCTTTCTGCAATCTAAGAATTACCCTTTAGCCATGAGTGTCATAACAGTATACGATCTTTTATATAGAATTCTTCATTTTCTGCACACAATAATCCTAAGGGTTTCTTATTCTCATTATACAAATATCAGAATTGAGGCTCAGAGATTTGCGTGCTTGATAAATGAAAACATCCAAACATGAACCTTGGTTTGGTCAGATTTGCTGTTTCTATTTCTGTCTCTCCCACGGTTTGCTGACTAGGATGATTCCTGTGACTGTAAGAACTTATCAACAAAACACTTTCCATGCCTGGAATTGGATGGGAGGAGAATTTGTCCCAGAGTGAGGGTGTGGCTGATAATGCAACACTTGGGTCAAATATTTGAGAGAAAATTGCCTTTGGCTTCCTGGACCTAGAATTCAATAGGAGGGTATTAAAATGAGGGACTGAGGAGAGAAATGAATAAAGAAGTCAGCTTAGAATTTGGTTTCCAGTAAAAATAGTAATGTAGCAGTATCTAAAGAATAGAACTGAAAATTCTTAGACACAGGCAGAGGTGTGATTATACAAGAGAGGAAATTTCCTAACTGGTAACTCTGGTTAGGGCTTTCTGAGCCCCTTTTAACATGGCTTCCCTGCACTCCCGTCCCACAGTTCCCCTGTGGGGTTCAGTTGGAGGAGATGCGATCTGGTACAGAGCGGGTGGGGAGAACTCAGCAGTGTCACTGTGATGTCTGCATTTGGTAACCTCCTTCCAAATCCAAGAGTGTCTGTTCCTCCAGGTGTCCCTAATGTCACGACCGAGCTTCCCACCCACCATGGAAGCACACACATCCGACCTCACACCAGGTCACACACCACTCAGTTTCTCACCCTCATAAAGCAGACACACACAGCTCACAAACACAGTCACCCATCACTCTCCTGACAACCCCACCCACACACCCACACGCACACACCATATGTTCACATAAGGCAGACACAAACCCTCACCCCCACATCCCTCCTGGGCTCTATTCCTCCTTTCCACTGAGGTGCTGGTTTTGTAGGGCATCAGTTCTCAGCCCCCCAGTTCCCTCTATTCTCCTTTGGATATCCTGAGGTAGCTCAAATGCGCTACCTCAGGAGACAACAATAATGATGTAAACCCATCGTGGTTACTGATACAGGTTCTAAGTCTCATGTGAATGAGCCTCAGTGGATCCCAAATTCACATTTCCAACAAGCTACATGAAAGGTTTTTGTTGTTGTTGTTTGTTTGTTTTTAAAGGAATCCTATCTTTCTTGGTGCTGCTTCTCTCATCCCAGCTCCCAGCCCCTGCTCACAGGCAGGGCTTTTCTCTTGGTGCGCCTTCCCCCTCCTGTGCCCCATGTCCTCCAATCTTAGCTCAACCCCGTCTTACCCTCCCTGCCCAATCTCTCTCCAGTTGTTCCCACAGGCAAGTGCAGTAGAAAAAGCACTGGGTTGGGTTAGGCCAGGCACAGTGGCTCACGCCTGTAAACCCAGCATTTTGGGAGGCCAAGGTGGGCAGATCAAGAGATCAAGATCATACTGGCCAACATGGTGAAACTCCGTCTCTACTAAAAAAAAATACATACAAATTAGCTGGGCATGGTGGTGCGTGCCTGTAGTCACAGCTACTGGGGAGGCTGAGGTAGGAGAATTGTTTGAACCCAGGAGGGGGAGGTTGCAGTGAGCTGAGATCACATCACTGCACTCCAGCGTGGTGACAGAGTGAAACTCCATCTCAAAAAAAAAAAAAAAAAAAAAAGAAAGTAAGAAAAAGCGTTGGGGCACTGGGTTGGAAACCACTGAGTAACATTAGCAACTCATTTGAGTCCATGGTTTCTCATTGGTAAAATGGGGTTAATAACAACTATCTCACAATGTTGAAAGAGCAAAGAAAGGGATGCAGGCCTAGTGCCCAGGAAGTAGTGTTAGGAATGATTAGTCCTCGCCTAAAACCTGCTCCCTTTCTCCCTAATCCAGTTTCCACCTGCCCCTCCCCCAGAAAACCCAAATCCAAATGGCTGAGAAAGTAAGAAGCTACTAATCTCGCCTTCCTCTAAATCGCTAAAGGAAGAAGACATATGTATTCTAGGCTCCCTGAAGCACAATTTTTTTGAGTTTGGATTCTCTGATATTTCTCCCACATAATATATAATTGAATCATTATCTTCTAGCTATAAAATCAGGTCCTGGGAGGAAATGTTAAATTTACACAGGAAACTGGAGTCAGTCAAGGTCATTTTGTCCAGTTCTTCCACCCCCTTATTACTCCTTCCTGCCCCGTGTCCTGGAAAGTCAGGTGCAGGCGTATGGGATGCGGAGCTGCAGTAAATGCAGAGGGGGCTACTTCTAGCTTTGGCTACGTTGACTTCTATTCCACAAAGTGACTCTAGACTATACTCCTTTCAACTGCACCTAACCACTCTTTCGCTTAGAATATTTAGGTCAAGCCAGATAAATAGATTCTTTTAGAAAAGTCCCTGATTAATCTAATTCTTTGCTTTCTCTGGGCAGCATAGATACTAAGCTACACATTCCTTTGTGTTTGAGATCCTCAGAGCTTCTCGAGGCCATTTGTTCTTGGAGATGATTTCCAAGAGTGAAGATGGGGTGGAAAGGTTAGGTGTCCTAAAAAGCCCCAACTCAGCCCCTCTGGTCAGTAATGACAGAGCAGCATAAGGATCTTTCAAAGGCCTCAGGTCCTGGGGCGGAAGGAGGAAGGCGAATGCGAATGGAACCGAGATTGCTCTGCACTCCACTGCCTCAGAACCCAGACTGGGAAAAAGCTGAAATAACTCTGCAGCTAGATTTCAACTGATTGCTCCCTTGGATCAGTTTCCCAATCAGTGACCCAGACTGCCAGAAAAGGCCCCATCCTGAGCGGGGACCACCAGAGGGCACCACAATGAGGCTTCCTTGCTCCCCTCCAACTCTGCTGGGGGAAAAACATGGCACCTGGCTAAAGTGAAATGGGACTGTGACTCCTACC